ATCTGTTGTCCTATAAAAAATAAATAAATATATTTTTTAATAACAAATTTTATAGCAAATATGGCAATACGTCTGCTATTTATGTTTACACAAATGTTTGACTGTTATTTTTTGCTGTGTTATTAAAGTTTTTGTTAAAATATTTGTTTTAGTATTTTTTTATTAAAACTAAATCCAGCTTTGTAAATATGTAATTTAGTAGATTATAATAAAACAAATAACCTAACTATTATTTACATTTGTTTTTCAATAGAATAAAATTCTGAATTTAGATGTATTTGTTTGGCATAGAATTTGTTAAAAAAAAAGACTCTAGAGCAGAGAACAATATTTGCTAAAAATCTACCTCTTTGGATACCTAGGAAAAATAAATATGATCTAGCGTCTTGGATAAATAATAACATGTGGTCCGTGATGGAAGAGAAACAACGGTTATTGCCAATGAAGAGAAAGTCAAGAAGGGATTCAGGCATTAATGAACTATTAAAAAGGGTCAGATAACAACAGGAATATATGCTGATATCTTAAAACTCCATACGGTGGTGCGCATACCAAAGATTCCTCGAGCAACGTCAGCAGAATATTACAGACCTATAGCGCTTCTGTCTTCCATAGATAAGCTTTTTGAAAGGATAATACATACACAATTACTGCAATTTTTCCAAAATCAAGGGTCAATTTATGACACGCAATATGCATATATGAAGGTAGGAGGCACTGATGAAGCTGTTTTAAGGACTGTAAATAATATATGTCAGGGTTTGGATACTGGGGTTTTTTTTTATTCTACGATATTAGCAGAGCTTTCGATCTTATAGAACAAGATATTTTATAAGAAAAATTGGAATACTATGGTGTGAGAGGAAATGATAATGACTTATTGAGAAGTTTTTTTGTATCGAGGGAGGCAGATTGTGCAAATCGGCGAAGCGAAGTTCTATCTCAAATGTGAATTATGGTGTTCCACAAGGTAGTATTCAAAGGACCTATTGTAATGTGTAAAATTGGGATGAAAAGAGATTCTGCCGCGATATTGGCATTTGCTAGACTCAATGATCTAGGATTGAACCCAATTAAAGCCAAAGTTCTGCGCTTTCGTCCCTTCTCTCTTTCTCTAAATAATGAATTTGGTATTTTTGTAAATGGAGAGTTGATAGAGTGAAAGTCACTGTATAATGTACTTAGGAGTTAAACTAAAAAGTAATCTAAAATGGGATGATCATATAGAATACATAAAATCGAAGGCAGAGTACAATGTCATTGGCATATTAGATAAGTTTAAACAAGTGAAAAAGCGTTAAGTTCGGCCGGGCCGAACTTTGTATACCCTCCACCATAGATATACTGACAGGTACTAGAAATGAAAATAAAGGAAACATACCAAAAAGTGGACCTATACCGACATGTCTAAAATCGGATTATGTAAACCATAATACAAATTTCAGAAAATTTTAATTGATAATTCAAATTCGAAGATGGGGAATATCGATCCACTCCTTCTGAAACCTCCACAGAGGCTAGGTCTAAATGCGACTATAGTTCATTATCGAACCTTACGTTCTAATTTTTTACCTCGCTATCCTCTGCAGGTGAAATGATTACACTAGAGTCTTAGAACCAAACTCAAAACGCGGAACATATCAGATAACTATATTAATATAAAAAAGGGGGGTTATATGGGGACTACCCCAAAAAGGGGGCGAATATTAATAATTTTTGGTAGAGAGATTTGGTACCTATTAAGAACTCAAAATACTAAATTACAGCTAATTCGGCGGAAAAATACGATCAAAACCCCCAAAATTCTAAAAATTGGGAGGTACCATTGTATAGGGGCTACCAGAAAAAGTGGACATATATTTATAATTTTTTGTGGAGACATTAATGACCCAATAAGAACCCAATGTAGCAAAGTTCAGCGAAAAACGTGCTCAAGAACCCCAAAATACCGAAAATTGGGGGGTACCCTTATATGGGGGCTACCCGAAAAAATTGACCTATATACATAATTTTTTTTAGAGAGGTTTGGTACCTATTAAGAACTCAAAACACTAAATTACAGCCAATTTGGCGGAAAAATACGACCAAAACCCCCAAAATACTGAAAATTAGGAGGTTCCGTTATATGGGGGCTACCAGAAAATATGGACCTATACTTATAATTTTTTGTGGAGATATTTAGTATTCAATAAGAACCCAATGTACCAAATTTCAGCGAATTCGGCTGAAAAAGGCGCTCAAGAACCCTAAAATACCGAAATTTGCCGGGTACCCTTATATGGGAGCTATGCCTAAACGTGGACCGATATATCCCATCTTCGAACTTGACCTGCCTGCAGACAAAAGACAACCCTATGCAAAATTTCAGCACCCTATCTCAATTCCTTCAGAAGATAGCGTGATTACAACAGACGGACGGACGGACGGACATGGCTAGATCGTCTTAGAATTTTACCCTGATCATGAATATATATACTTTATAGGGTCGGAAATGAATATTTCGAGGAGTTACAAACGGAATGACAATATACCCTCCATACTATGGTGGAGGGTATAAAAAGCTGAAGGACCTAGGGGAGTTGCCAATCTCCTACTAGGCGCGTCTTTCCGATTTTAGTTACAGGAACCAGGAGGAGTACGCCACAAGCAGCTCTGAACGTAATACTGAACTTTAAGCCTCTGGGCCTCAGTATTAAGTGTCAGGCCACGCGTAGCGCCCTAAGGCTGCATGAACAAAACCTCTGGCAAAATTGTACCTTTGGGTTGGACCAAGGCGTTAAACTAAGCGACTATATATCACCATTCCTGAGATTTGACGATGTAGATGTCGTTATTCCTAGTAGAGACGACTGGAACCGAAATAACCCTCCTCTGGCCTTCTATACAGACGGATCCAAGATGGAAGAAGGTACAGGGGCGGGCGTCTACTGTGAAAGGCTAGGCCTTGAGTTAACCTACAAGCTGGATTGCAAGCTGAAGTCTTCGCGATTTGGAAGGCAGCGGAATTGATAAAAAGTCCGGAGGCAGTGGTCGTTGAACCGGTGACTATCTTTGTGGATAGTCAAGCGGCTGTTAAAGCCATCAAATCTTGTTATATCAAATCTGAGGCCGTCCTCAAGTGTAGAGCAGCTTTGGAAGAACTTACTTACAGCTATCGGTTGTGTTGGCTACCAGGATATTGTGACATCTTGGATAATGAAAGAGCGGACGAACTAGCTAGACGAGGATCTCAATCCACAGATATAGCAATTGATGACTCAATTAAACCGCCCATATGTCATTTTTACCGGAACTTTGAGGCGTTCTTCGACGAAAGAGCCTATGAACTTTGGTACAACGAACCTAGTTACAATGTGTCAAGATCTATTTGGGCGACTCCGTCTACCAAAAGAACGTACTCATTGGTGAACCTGAGCAAAGCTGAAATAAGAGTAATGACAGGAATCATTACTGGTAACTGCTATATCAGGGCTTTTACTAGTAAATGGGATCTTGATGCAATTGATTACTGTAGACTTTGCGTTGACGACGAGGAGGAGACGGAGACAATTGAGGATCTCCTGTGTCATTGCCCATAGCTGGCTTACAGGCGCCACAGACTAGTGGGTGCCCATTTTCTACCGATTCTTAGCTTCTTCTCAACAACCGAACCTGCTCTAATCTACAGCATAATTAGAAACCTAAAGTGGTTAGGAAAGTGCAACCTTGACACGTAACACATCTTCTGTTTGATTCCTATAGCCATCGACCTTATTCCAATCTTAAATTTTTTAAATCTTCCTGCAAGCTTCTCATCTCTCTTTATTTCGCCAATCTTCTCTCCCCTATAGATCTGTCCTTATCTGTTATCTTCTCGTGGATGATCACAACGGACCTAACGGTCTCAGAGTGCTGCAGCTACATAAGTGCAACACATCCCCAAACCAAACCAAGGAAAAGACTAAACTTGTGATTTATCAGGCATTGATCGATTGTCATCTTGAATATTTTTGCCATTGTATATGCCCATAAAAAATCTACGCCTTGAGATAGACCCGAAAATAATTTTTTAAGTCTTTATCATAAAAAATATTTTAAAAAAAAAAAAAAAAATACACCTTTGTAGGGTCTTTGAAAAACAAAATTTGAGGTTAGATTCGGATTTTTTTTTTAATTTCTTTCCAAAAAAAAAATACAATTAATTTTTTTAATAATTTTTTATTAATAATTGTTTATATATTTATTGTTTTTTTGAGAGGAAAAAGTTAATTGCATAAAAATATTGAATATATATTTTTTTTCTTAAAAAATAACCAAAAACAGTGGGACAAAATAATAAAAAATGAAAGAAATATTTAATGAAATGACGTAGACAATATATATGAAATAAAATAAAAACCACTAAATTACGAAATTAAAAAAAAAGATTTTTTTTTTGAAAATGGTATTTCAGAAAAAAAATTTCCAAAAATTTACGAGAGGGGAAGAAAACATTCTCCCCACCCCAAAGGAACTTTGTGAGGAAAAGAAAATAGGGGGAAAAGTAAGCAAAAGTTTTCAAAAAATACCATCAGTTTTTTTAATTTTAAATTTTTTTTATTTCTTTTTTCATATTTTTAAAAAAATTTCATTGGAAAAAACTAAAATAAAATATACATTATTTTTTTGGAAAAGCAAAGAGAAAAAAATACAAAGAGAAAAATGGAAACCCAGTATTTATGGAAAGCAATATAAGTTATTTTTTTATAAATTTTTGTTATTTTGCAAAAAATAAAATTGAAAAAACAAACAGAACAGAACCATATAATAAATCAAAAAACAAAAACATTTTTTTGTAGGGATTGAATTCAAAATACAAAAAATTCTAGAGGTCTTCTTTTTCAATATAAAAAGTGGTGTTCAAGGGTTATTAAGAAGAAGAGGAAGAAGAAGAGGGGGGTTTGCTATTTTTATTTTGTAAGTATATGCGTGATTTCTTTTTTCAAATTTGCTTTTGTTGTAGCTTTTGTTTCTTTCCTTCCTTTAGATATCATCAATATCAATTTCTTCACCATCATCATCGTCCTCTTCGATAACCTTCTTGGTAACCTGTGTTACCTGCGCCTTAAGCGGCTCAACACGAGCCCTATCATTATACTCAATCTCAACCTCTGAATCTTCTTCGTCTTCTTCTTCGGACGACTCCTCCTCTTCGGCCTCCTTCAACCACTGAATAAACGGTTTGGCCTTCTCATGGATTTCGGTGGCCACCTCACGGGATACATATTTCTTGCTAACCTTCAGCGACCAATCCAAAATCACCTTTTCATCCAAAATATCCGTGTCATAGAAGAGCTTGAAAATACCGGCAACCTTAGGCATCAATTTCTCCTTGTGCAGGGCAATAATCTGTTCGATGCCACCGATCAAATAACGTTGAGCCTTGGGATTGTTGTGAGTGAAGCGCAACAATAGGACACGATGTTTGCGTACATCTTGAGTCAAATTATCGGAGAAGAGCAATTCAGCCAAGACCAATGGGGCCTTATGGACAATATCCAAACGTTCGGCTTCGATCAGCAGCTCTTTGTGTTCGGCCACGGCATCCAATTTGCCATCGTCCAACTTCTTTTTGACGATTTCATAGAAAATATCGATACGTTCCTTTTCGGTTTTATCGTAATCATCGGAAATGGTCATGCTCTTGGCGCCATCGGTTAAATCTTGGAGACGAGCGCGAATGGCTTCCTGGAAAGGAAGGAAAAAAAATGAATACAAAATTAGAAATTGTTCTTTAAAATATATCGATAATTATTCCGAAATATTGATAAAAAAAATTTCCATAGTAGAGAAAAATTATCGATAACACTTTTTGTGTAGAGAAAAATTATCGATAATTTTTCTCTACGATAGTAAATTTTCTCTATGGAAAATTTATCGATAGTAAATTTTCTCTATGGAAAATTTATCGATAGTAAATTTTCTCTATGAAAAATTTATCGATAGTAAATTTTCTCTATGGAAAATTTATCGATAGTAAATTTTCTCTATCGAAAATTTATCGATAGTAAATTTTCTCTATAGAAAATTTATCGATAGTAAATTTTCGTTATAGAAAATTTATCGATAGTAAATTTTCGTTATAGAAAATTTATCGATAGTAAATTTTCGTTTTATTATTATCGATAATTTTTTTTAATATAAAAAATAACCGATATTTATAAATATAAAAAAATAATTATCGTTATTTTTAATATAAAAAAAATCAATATTTTTAATATAAAAAAAATAATCAAATTTTTTAATATAAAAAAATAATCGATATTTTTTAATATAAAAAAATAATCGATTTTTTTTTAATATAAAAAAAATAATCAATATTTTTTAATATAAAAAAATAATCGATATTTTTTAATATAAAAAAATAATCGATTTTTTTAATATAAAAAAATAATCGATTTTTTTAATATAAAAAAATAATCGATTTTTTTAATATAAAAAAATAATCGATTTATTTAATAATAAAAAAATAATCGATATTTTTTAATATAAAAAAATAATCGATATTTTTTAATATAAAAAAATAATCGATATTTTTAATGTAAAAAATAATCGATATTTTTTAATATAAAAAAATAATAATCGATATTTTTAATATAAAAAAATAATAATCGATATTTTTAATATAAAAAATAATTATCGCTATTTTTTTAATATAAAATAATAATTATCGATATTTTTTAATATAAAAAAAATTATCGATATTTTTTAATAAAAAAAAAATTATCGATATTTTTTAATATAAAAAAATAATTATCGATATTTTTTTAATATAAAAAAAATAATTATCGATATTTTTTAATATAAAACAATAATTGCCGATATTTTTTTTAATATAAAAATTTAATTATCGATGTTTTTTAATATAAAAAAATAATTATCGATAATTTTTTAATAAAAAATAAGATAGATTTGTAAGATCGATTATTGTAGATAATTATTCTTAACAAAAAATTATTATTGACATTTTTTTGACATAACAAAATAATTATCGATAATTATTTGTTAAAAAAATATCGATAATTTTGTGTTACAAAAAAATTATTATCGATAATTTGTTGTTACAAAAAATTATAATCGATAATTTGTTGTTACAAAAAATTATTATCGATAATTTGTTGTTACAAAAAAATTATTATCGATAATTTGTTGTTACAAAAAAATTATTATCGATATTTTTCTATACGGAAAATTTATTATCGATATTTTGTTGTTACAAAAAAATTATTATCGATAATTTTGCGCTCTAAAAAATATATTATCGATAATTATTATTTACAAAAATTTAATATCGATAATTTGTTCTTACAAAAAAATTATTATCGATATTTTTCTATACGGAAAATTTATTATCGATAATTTTGCGCTACAAAAATCGATAATTTTTTATGAAAAAAAATATATTCCTCACTCACCTTCGACACATCAACACTCCATTCATCGGCATCATCATCACCATTTGTCTCCGGCAATGCAGCACTGATCTCGGCCTCAGTTTGGCTAGCCTGATTACCACCATCCGAATCATTATCGGAATTCTTATTCATCGAAGCATTGCCAGCATCACCATTTTCACCATTCTTACCCTTGCCGCGTTTTGAACGTTTTCCCTCGGTCAGAGATGATCCCTGGGCAGCGGGATTGATGGTGGGTGGATTTTTCAAAATGAAAGTATTCACCTTATGATTGACTTTCAGCAGACCATGGAAACCACATGCTTTGCATGATTGGGAGATGGTTTGATTACGATTTGAAACGGTCAAATCAGTTTCGGGATTATCGCATTCGGGGCAGAGTACAAATTTGCGTATAAAACCATCGAGAAGATCTTGCAGTTTGGCGGCATCATGCGAACCGTTGACAATGAAACGTTCGTTCTGTAAAGAGAGGGGGGAGAGGGGGATTAGTGGTTTGTAGAAGTGAAAAGGGGGTGGGTTAGTGTTGCCTTACCTTATGATCGAATTGGGTTTGGGCACCCAATTCACAGCCAAAATATTTTGTGGGATAGGTGGCTGGTCTACCAATGGCCCTGGCCACATCGGCCATGTTGACAATGACAGTCTTAATGCCATTACCCTTGCCCTCAACCTTGGCCTGGATACGGGGCATTTTATAGCGATAGAAAATATCGGTGACATTGCGGTTTACGTTGACGGTACCCATTTTGGTGGTTGTTTACTCTTTTTCTTGATAACACAAATAAGGATTGTTGGGGCTCTCTTTTACTCTCGTGCTCTCTCAATCTCTCAGTTTTACGAAGCGGCTGCTAGTCCTGGTTTTTCCAAAGACGATGACTTTTTTGAGCGTCGTTTTGTTTTTGTGTTCTAAAAATCAAAACCAAACAAATATTATGTCTCTCTTTCTCTATGTCGCTCTCTCTCTCTCAGTGACACTCTCTCTCCCTTTTTAGCTTAAAAGGCTTTCATGGAGTTGCAAATAGCGGCGGCCAGGCTGATAACAAACGTTTTCAATTGTTTGTTGTGGTCGAACTTCCTCCTCGTGGGTCCAACAGCTTGAAGAAGACTGCAGATCGGTTGTGGGCTTAAAATGTTTATTTTTTGATTTGTTATATGGTTTTATAAGAGTTGGCAAATTCATGAAGTTTGCTTTTTGTATAGAGGGCGTTGTTGTCGTTGGGTAATAAATCTTGGATGTTTTCAGAGTGGTGCTGCTGCGGGGTGGCGGGTATTTATAACCTTCTATTTACGACAATTGCTGTTCTACTCTGTTGTTTGGATTTCAATTAATTTTTGTTTTTATAACTTGATAAGGGCGATTTGTTGTTGTTGTATTTTTTTTGCAGGATTTTTAAATCAATAGCTGCTCCGGCAATAATCGGATTTTGTTTTGGATCTGGTTTTTATATATTTGTTTTCTTTATATGAAAAATCTGCTTCTGCTCTCCTTTTCAAAGGTGTTTCCGCTTCTTTACTTTATTATTTTTCTTTTACTTCTTCCAATGCAACCATTAACCAGGTGCAAATGTCCCACACTCCCTATTTTTTTCTTTGGGGTGCTGTATTTTGATTTTTTTTTTTTGGATTTTTTTGGGTATTTTTTTAAATTTTTTTTGTAGATTTTTTTTCGCTTTACATTAGCTGTTGTTGTTTTGTTATATTTTTATTATTTTATAAAAATAGTAATTTGTTGTTGTTGTGGTTAAAATTCGAATAAACGAGGGCAATGTTTTGTTGAAAAACGACGACAAATGCCTCACGTTTCTCTAAAAGGTTGCAGCTTCCGATGTCTGTTACTAGAAAATTTTGAAGTCCTGGAAAAAAATAAAATGGAGAAAAATTAGATTCAAGGAATAAAAATTAAAAAAAAAAAAAAAAAATTTAAACCGAAATTTTATCATTTTTGATAGGAAGAACCCATAATAAAAAATTACAGCCAATTCGGTTGATAAATACGCCCAATCTCCTCAAAATATTGAATAATAGGGGTACTTTTACATGATATATGGGGACTACCCTAAAATGTAGACCAATATTGATAATTTTTGGTGGGAAGATTTTCTACCCAATGAGTAACCCAAATACCAAATTCCAGGCAATTTGGTTGATAAACACAACCAATCTCCTCAAAATATCGAAATTTTATAGGTTATGTTATATGGGAGCTACCCTAAAAAGTAAACCAATATTTTTAATTTTTAGTAGGATGATGTATTACCCCATGAGAAACCATAATAACAAATTGCAGGTATTTCGGTTGATAAACATGCCCGAAATACCCAAAATACCGAATAATAGTGATATTTTTACATGGAGACTACCCTAAAAAGTGGACCAATATTTATAATTTTTGGTAGCAAGATTTATTACCCAAAGAGTACCCAAAATAGCAAATTACAGAAAATTCGGTTGATATATACGCCCAATCTCCCCAAAATATGGAATATTTGGCAGTACCTTTATACGGGGACTACCCTAAAAAGTAGACCAATTTCTATCATTTTTGGTAGGAAGCTTTTCAACCTAATGAGTAACCAAAATATAAAATTGCAGGCAATTCGGTTGATAAACATGCTCAATCTCCCCAAAATTTTGAATATTTGGGAGTACTTTTACATGGAGACTACCCTAAAAATTTGGCCAATATTTGTAATTTTTGGTTGCAATATTTGTTACCCAAAGAGAATCCAAAATAGCAAATTACAGAAAATTCGATTGATAAATACGCCCAATCTCCCCAAAATATCGAATATTTGGGAGTACCTTTATATAGGGACTACCCTAAAAAGTGGACCAAGATTTATAATTTTTGGTAGCAAGCTTTACTACCTAAAAATAATCTAAAATAGGAAATTGCAGGCAATTCGTTTGATAAACACGCTCAATTTCCCCAAAATATCGAAATTTTATAGGTTATGTTATATGGGAGCTACCCTTAAAAGTAAAGCAATATTTATCATTTTTGGTAGGAAGATGTATTACCCCATGAGAGCCCATAATAACAAATTGCAGGCAATTCGCTTGATAAACGCACCGAATATCTCCAAATTACCGAATAATGGGGGTAACTTTACATGAGGACTACCCTAAAAAATGGACCAATATTGATCATTTTTGGTAGCAAGATTTGTTACCCAAAGAGAACTCAAAATATCAAATTGCAGCCAATTCGGTTGATAAACATGCCAGAAATACCCAAAATATCGAATATTAGGGGTAACATTATATGGCAACAACCCTAAAAAGTAGACCAATTTCTATAATTTTTGGTAGGAAGATTTGCCTCCCAATGAGAACTCAAAATACCAAATTACAGCCAATTTGGTTGATAATCGCACCCAATCTCCCCAAAATATCGAAATTTGGGAGGTAATTTTGTATGGGGGCTATCTTAAAAAATAGAGCAATATTGGTAATTTTTGGTAGGAAGATTTGTTACCCAAAGATAACTCAAAATGCCAAATTGCAGCCAATTCGGTTGAAAAAAAAGAATTAAAAATTCCCAAAATACTGAAATTTTATAGGTTATGTTTAATGGGAGGTACCCTAAAAAGTAGACCAATTTCAATAATTTTTGGTAGGAAGATTTCCTACCCAATGAGAACCAAAAATATCAAATTACAGACAATTCGCTTAATAAACACGCTCAATCTGCCTTAAATGCAGAATAAATGTGGGACCCTTTCTATTTTCAAGACATTTCCCTAGCAAAAAATGAACTACAAAATCAAACCTATATATTATCTGACAAAAAAATCCAAAACTTTTCTACTATATACTACATTTTTTTGTTCAAGTTAATGCGGCTAGCATAGCGTAACCTTGACCGTTTAAATGTGCTATGCGCAATCTATCCATCAAAATATTTCCATTTCCCCCCCATTACAATAACATGTAAGTATGTATTTTATTTTGTAATTATATATTATACAAAAAACAATAATAACAACAACAATAATAAAAACAAATGTTCCATTTTTTCTATTACTTTTTACAAAACAAATGTGTACGAGAGGACTTCATCGTCAGGGTATGGGTAGGTAGTAGGTGGGTGGGTTTGGTTGGTTGGTTAGTTACCACAAGGAAGGAAGTATAAATGGGGATACCAACAAAATTCAAGCAAGCAAGGTAGGACAAACAAATTAAAAATTCACATGGAGGAAACAGAACTGAACTGTTGGGCGCCACAATTCAATAAAATATACATGAAATTATAATGGCGTGTGTTTACGTCATTAGGAAAAGAGAAAGAAAAAACAATGTGACACAAATTCAAACAAAAAAAGAACAAGCACACTAGCAGTCAAGTAATAACACAAACACAAGAGACAAAAAACTAAAGCCTACTTTCAGGCGTAACCAAATTCACACCAAATGGGGGGTGAAAGAAAAAAAAACTTTTTCTGGTTGTTAAAGAAAAACAAAACAGAAAAAACGTGGGTAGCAAAGGAAAATAGAATAGGAAAACAGTAAATAAAAGCATGTGTAGAGTGTTAAATGACAAACAAATACACACACTTCGTGGGAAAAGGTATGACAAATAAATTTTATTGCCTTTTTTCGGTTGTTACTACCATGAGGGACGCCATTATAACCAAATAAAACATAAATAAATACCGACATTATCTAAAATAGTAATGCGGCATACAGGTGTACATTGATTTGTTTTTGTATTACATTGCGGAACTGAAACAAAATCCCAATAAGATTGGAATTTGGGAGATAGCGTTATATGGGGGCTATGCAAAAAAGTGGACCAATTTCTATAATTTTTGGTAGGAAGATTGGCTACGCAAAGATAACTCAAAATACCAAATTGCAGCCAAATAGATTGAAAAAAATTCCCAAAATCCCAAAAATACTGAAATTTTAAAGGTTATGTTATATGGGAGCTACCCTAAAAAGTAAACCAATATTGATAATTTTTGGTGGGAAGATGTATTACCCCATGAGAATCCATAATAACAAATTGCAGACAATTCGATTGATAAACACGAACAATCTTCCCAAAATATCGAATATTAGGGGTCATTTTATATGGGGGCTACCATAAAAACTAGATCAATTTCTATAATTTTTGGTAGTGAGATTTGTCACCCAATGAATGTCCAAAATACCAAATTGCAGCCAATTCGGTTGATAAACAAACCCAATCTGCCCAAAATACCGATTATTAGGGGTACCTTTATATGGGAACTACCCTAAAAAGTAGGCCAATTTCGATAATTTTTGGTAGGAAGATTGGCTACCCAAAGGGAACTCAAAATACCAAATGACAGTCAATTCGTTTAAAAAACGAACCCGAAATCCCCATAATATCGAAATTTTGGAGGTAACTTTATGTGGGGACTACCCTAAAAAGTAGACCAATTTCTATCATTTTTGGTAGGAAGATTAGCTACCCAAAGATATTCTAAAATACCAAATGACTGTCACCCAAATACCGAATATTTGGGGGTACCTTTACATAAGGACTACCCTAAAAAGTGGACCAATTTCTATAATTATTGGTAGGGAGATTGGCTACCCAAAGAGAACTCAAAATATCAAATTACAACCAATTCGGTTGATAAATACGCCCAATCTTCTCACAATATCGAATATTTAGGGGTACCAATATATGGGGGCTACCCAAAAAACTGGACCAATATTTATATATTTTGGTACAAAGATTGGCTACCCATTGACAATCCAAAATCTCAAATTGCAACCAATTCTGTTGATAAACACGCCCATTCTCCCCAATATATCGAATATTTAGGTGTATCATTATATGGGGGCTACCCCAAAAAGTAGACCAATATTTATAATTTTTTGTAGCAAGCTCTGCTACCCAAAGAGAACCCAAAATACCAAATTGCAGTCAATTCGGTTGCTAAACACACCCGATCTGCCCAAAATAACGAATATTAGGGATCACCTTATATGGGGACTACCCAAAAAAGTAGTCCGATTTCTATAATTTTTGGTAGGAAGGTATAATACCCCATGACATATATATATATATATATATATATAACAATACATACCTATGACTTAAATAGCGCCGATGTGAATTCATGCACGAACTAACTAAGTTGCTCCGTTGAGGTGGAGATGGAGGTGTTTGCTGGTATACTGGTGTTTCTGTAATGAGAAAAAAATAATACAAGATAAAAAATTAATTAAATTTAATAAAAAAAATATAACACAATAAAAATTGGTTCAAATTTATATTTATTCAGAAAATAAATTGAAAATGAGGCATATTAAAGCTATCTTCCAAATTAGGCCAAAGGTTCCCGTAAAACCTCATTTTAGAGGCTTGGTGTAGAGAGAAGAAATATTCTACAGAAAATTCCATAGGGGGTCTTCGACCAAAAGATTTCTCTAACTATATTATAAAACATTTAAAAATCGGGTCAAGTTTGTATATATTTGTTAAATAATTTGTAAATGGGTAATATTATAGCTATCTTCCGAATTAGGCCAAAAATTCCGCTGAAACCACATTTTAGAGGCTTGGTGTAGAGAGAAGAAATATTCTACAGAAAATTCCATAGAGGATCTCCGACCAAAAGATTTCTCTATCTATACTATATATAGGAATTAAATATCGATTCAAATTTGGTTATATTAAAAAAAAAAAATAAATTAAAAATTGGGCATATTAAAAAGCTATCTTCCAAATTAGACCAAAAATTCCGCTGAAACCACATTTTAGAGGCTTGGTGTAGAGAGAATAAATATTTTACAGAAAATTCCATAGAGGGTCTCCGACCAAAGGATTTATCTAACTATACTATAAAACATTTAAAAATCGGATCAAGTTTGGTAATAAAAATAAAATGGAAAAAATGATTACCAATTTATTGTTTTCCCAAATTAGGCCCAAATATCCCACATTCTCTCATTTTAGAGGCAGAAAATTCCACTATGGGTCTCCGAATAACAAATTTCTCCAACTACACTAATATAGCAATTAAAAATCGATTTAAATTTGGTTATAATTAGAAAATAATTTAAAAATGAGTCATATTATAGCTATCTTCCGAATTTGGCCAAGAATTCCGCTAAAACCTCATTTTAGAGGCTTGCTGTAGGGAGTAGAAATATTCTACAGAAAATTTCATAAAGGGTCTTCGACCAAAGGATTTCTTTAACTATACTATAAAACAGTTTAAAATCGGGTCAAGTTTGGTAATATAAAGAAGTTGGAAAAAATGATTACCCAATTATTGTTTTCCCAAATTAGGCCCAAATATCCCATATTCTCTCATTTTAGAGGCATGACATAAAGGGAAGAATTATTCTACAGAAAATTCCATAGAGGGTCCCCGATCAAAAGATTTCTCTATCTATACTATATATAGGAATTAAAAATCGATTCAAATTTGATTATATTTAGAAAATAATTTAAAAATGAGTCATATTATAGCTATCTTCCAGATTAGGCCAACAAATCCGGTGAAACCTCATTTTAGAGGTTTGCTGTAGAGAGAAGAAATATTCTACAGAATATTCCATAGGGGGTCCCCGACCAAAAGATTTCTCTAACTATATTATAAAGCAGTTAAAAATCGGATTAATTTTGGAAATATAAAAAATGTTTTGAGCAAATCTTCTCAAAAAAAAAGTCCTGGCAACCCAGTCCCGAGAGAGAGTGAGTGAGTAGAGAGTAAATTTTTTTCTTAGCCAACATAAAAGAGAATTGTTTTGAACCCTCCCAAAAAAGTTCAATTCAATGAGATGAGATTTGGTAAGGTCAGTTAAGGCCTCTGCCAAAGCACATACAATATACATATGAGGAGGTGAGGTTCCTGCACAAGATGCCTGGCTGGCTGACTGCTTGTCAGGCAGTCTGTGTGTATAATAATACGACTTAATGAGTTCATCTTCTTCTTCCTTTTTTCTTTTATCTGAGAAAAAAAAAAATTCTTGGAAAAAAATCAATAATTTAAAAAAAAAGAATCCTTTCTTTCCTCATAGCTATACTTACTTGTAGTATTGGGTTTATGGTAGGCGTAGGACGACACCACAAATTGTAAAAATGACAAAGAGCCCACCATATGATGATGATGCTCTGTTTCGGCCAACAAATTCCTCAACGCGTTCAAAGTGAAATTTTCAACAAAAAACACTTGAAAAAGTTTTTTTTTTCTTTTTAATAAAATTGGTGTTCGAAAAAAAGTCTGCTTTTTTCTTCTACTTTAGGTTCCTTTTTTCTTTTTTGGAAAGGAAAAGAGATTTTATTTTGCAATAATTAGACTATAAAAAAATAATTTATCAGAAAAAAATCTAGAGAGGGTGGAGGAGGAAAAAAAACACTACAACTTTATTTCACGCGAGGTGGGCTGGCTGGCTTTCTTTTTTATATACTACAAATAAAATTTTGTTACACACACACACAATCACACTTCAAGTCTTTGCCCGAAAAAAATAGACGTGTTAAATTGCAATGACCTAGGCTCACGCAATATTTAATGGCTGGTTGGTATTTTATTTTTTTCTTTTCCTTCACGGATGTGGTCTAGTTCCTGCAGAGATTTTTTTTGTTATTTTATTTAATTTTTTTGCTCTACAATTTTTTTACTATTTTTCAAAACACTAAAACCAATGTTAACTAGAAATTATTTTTAATTTTTTTCTTTCGAAAAACTCCAAGTAGTTCTAGAAAGAAAAAATCTTTTTGAATTCCTCCACTTGGTGTGTATACTTCAATAGAAAATTTTTTTTGGTGGAGGCTAACGATTATTATTGGGAAAATTTGCTGGTGGTGCTGCTGCGGCTTTGGCTGCTGCTTCTGCTACGGCTACTCCTCTTTGGTTATGGATTTATTTTCCGTTTGCTAAAATTTATTATTTTCTTTTCCGAATCGAAAACGTTGGTCAAACTTAGGATTCACTAAATGTATCGACGTGTCAAGCTCTTTGAAAAGACTAAATGCAAACGGCCAAGTAGGATACCTAGCATAGTTTTAGGGGCAAAAATAATTTGTATCGATGGCTCCTCTCATATACATATTTCCATACAAAGAGAGAGAGAAAGAGGAGTAAGGTATTTTTTCTCATAATTCTCTATTCATATTCAAATTGAGTCCTTTTTGGAGAGTATCACAATTCGCTTCTCTCGGAATATAGGCTATGACAGAGAGGGAGAGAGTAGTACAGTAACTCATGTTGATGTCGTCAACAAACTAAAGCATATTGTTAGGCACATTATTAAATTTCAAACAAACAAAACATTGTGGCATATTTTTAGGCGTAATCGTTTTCCAAGATTAGGCCAAAAATTCCGACAAAACTTCATTATAGAAGCTTGGTGCAGAGAGAAGAAATATTCTACAGAAAATTCCATAGGGGGTGTCCGAACAAATGATTTCTCTAACTATACTACAAAACAATTAAAAATCGGTTGAAGTTTGGAATTATATAAAAGGTTGAAAAACATTTTGCAAGTTATCATTTTCCAAGATTATGCCAAAAATTCCGACAAAACTTAATTTTAGAGGCTTGGTGTAGAGAGAAGAAATATTCTACAGAAAATTCCATAGGGGGTCTCCGACCAAAAGATTTCTCTAACTATATTATAAAACAGTTAAAAATCGGGTCAAGTTTGGATATATTTGTTAAATAATTTATAAATGGGTAATATTATAGCTATCTTCCGAATTAGGCCAAAAATTTCGGTAGAACTTCATTTTAGAGGCTTGGTATTAAAAAAAAAAAGTTGAAAACAAATTTTGCAATTTATCGTTTTCCAAGATTAGGCCGAAAAATTCCGGTAAAACCTCATTTTAGAGGCTTGCGGTAGAGAGAAGAAATATTCTACAGAAAATTCCATAGAGGGTCTCCAACCAAAAGTTTTCTCTAACTATGCTATAAAACAGTTAAAAATCGGGTGAAGTTTGGATATATTTGTAAAATAATTTTTTAAATGACTAATATTATAGATATCTTCCGAATCAGGCCGAAAATTCCGATAAAACTTAATTTTAGAGGCTTGCGGTAGAGAAAATAAATATTCTAAAGAAAATTCCATAGAGGGTCTCCGACCAAAGGATTTCTCTAACTACACTAATATAGCAATTAAAGATCGATTCAAATTTGGTTATTTTTAGAAAATAATTTATAAATCGGTAATATTATGGCTATCTTCCAAATTAGGCCAAAAATTTCGGCAAAACCTCATTTTAGAGAGTTTATGAAGGGAGAAGAAATATTCTACAGAAAATTCCATAGAGGGTCTCCAACCAAAATATTTCTCTAACTATACTATAAAACAGTTAAAAATCGATTTAAATTTTGATATATTTAGAAAATTATTTAAAAATGAGTCATATTAGCTATCTTCCAAATTAGGCTGATAATTCCGGTAGAACCTCATTTTAGAGGCTTGGTGTAGAGGGAAAAATTTTTCTACGGAAAATTCCATAGAGGGTCTCCGACCAAAAGATTTCTCTAACTACACTATAAAACAGTTAAAAATCGGATCAAGTTTGAACATATTTGGTAAATAATTTTAAAATGAGTCATATTATAATTATCTTCCAAATTAGGCCAAGAATTCCGCTAAAACCTCATTTTAGAGGCTTGGTGTAGAGGGAAAAAATATTCTACAGAAAATTCCACTATGGGTCTCCGAACAGTAAATTCCTTCTATCTTCCGAATTAGGCCGAAAATTCCGACAAAACTTCATTTTAGAGGCTTGCGGTAGAGAGAAGAAATATTCTACAGAAAATTCCATAGGGGGTCTCCGAATAACATGCTATAAAGCAGTTACAAATCGGGTCATAGGCTTAATTTTTTAAAGACTTAATAGACTTCCTTAAAAAAAATATATATTTTTTCAATGAATCATCAAAAAAAAAAAATCAAATAAAATTTGGTCATAGATGAAGCATTTTCTTGAAATCGAATTTAAAGCAAACATATCACACATCATTCTAGACTAAATTCAATAGGCTATACAGAATTTCCTGTCAATCGGACAAACGGTAGACCTTTGGTGGCCCATTTTCATAAAATCGAAGGAAAATATATATGGGAGCTATACCGAAATATAAACCTATTTACAACAAACTCAAAACACATCATTCTAAGCTCAATTCATTACGCAATACCAAATTTTGTGTCAATCGGTCAAA